GAGTCAAATGACAGGGTTAAAGCAAATCACCAGATGCGTGAAGTACTAGGCATGCTACGAAATTAGCTCGACTCTGTTATATTAGGCGACATCATGTGGCTTTTTGGTGAAAAATTATGTAAAAGACTAAAACATGGGATGTGATCACTAGCATTTATCCACGTGATGATGCTACGAGTCACCCTACCCCGTTTTGGTATGCAAAATATCCACTATATGCTGCGTCTACATTGTCCCAAGATGAAGGACAGCAAAATTCTTTTGATTTACCAGCAGTAGACTGAAAGAGATAATTATTATTGATAGTGATACTAATCTGAAATTACTCGACTCCAGCGTCTGTGACCTAATAGGCAAAAGCACGGCTGAAAAACATCCAATTCAGAGAAGTATCAATGTCAAAATTTTATATATAAAGACTAAAGCAAAAAAATCCCTTATTTTGGAAAGCTCTAAATTTCAAATCACAATCAAAACGCGATTTCACTTGCCTTTATAAAAAGATGGAATAAAGACAAACTAGTGATTCCTTTTAAAAATATTAATGTATACTAAATAAGCTTAAATTTAGAAAGAAAATAAAGTGAGCGGCTGAAAAAATGCACTAGGTTTAGAGAGAAGCAAAACATTTCTTGAAATTGGTCAATAAAATTTCTATGTGGCAAAAAACAAACCAAATATTCATAATTCACAGAAAGTATGTTTTCGAGAAAAAATAACGTATTCGAATGTAACGACAAAACATAAGTTTTAGGAGATGTATTCACCCTATTTCGTTAAAGGTGATGAAGGACAGGTAGTTAAATTATAAGTAGAACTGACGTTCCCATTGAACTTCACATAGCCTTGTTTTCCCCGAAAAGGTTGATTGCAATATCGACATCGCTTAGGTCTTATTAACGTCCCCAGCGGGAGTCTAAACAGAACAATGCGGCGTGTAATCTCGAGAAGTTAACCACAACGCCCCAATGCCACGAGTGCCCCTGGGCCACAGGGCAGATATGAATTTCAAGAAAGGCCATGCATTTTCCCATGTTACATTCTTTGGTGGGATTATTAATGAAGCAAAGTTATATTTGCTATCGCAATCGGCTACGTTACTTAATTTTCGTTCATAAGTAGGGTTTCGAGACTGCCAGTAAATCATGTATATGAAATATATACTAAATAAGCGCAAATTCAGGAATGAAATAAAGCAAGCGGCTAAAAAAATGCCCTAGGTTTAGAGAAAATATAACCTTTTTTTGATATTAATCAGTAAAATTTCTATAAGTTAGTAAAAAATAA